TTACGATGATTGGCCTCGGTTGCGCGCTGCGGAGAGTGGATGCAAAGACTCTGTGAGCTCGCTGAATCCGGAGATCCAGCTCAGCGGGTAGGGCCAGCTTGCTTTTCAGAAAGTCTGTTATGTATTGGTGCATCGATGTCCCTTCCTCTCCTTCAGCCACTCCAAAAATCCTAATATTATTCCTCCTCGATCTGGACTCCAGATCAGTCAGCTTATTTTGGATAATCCTTTGCCTTTTACTCCATGTGACCATCGCCTCCGTTAGCTCCACTGTGGCGTCCTCTACCAGCCCCACTCGGCTCTCCACCTCATCCACTCTCGATGTCAGTCCCTGCATCTCCTCCGCGATGTTATCGAGTTTGCTAGTCAACTCCTGGCGCAGGTAAGTGATGTCCTTCCGCAGATGTTCATTGTCTTCTCTCAGGTCTTTTTTAAGTCCCTCCAGGGCTTTCAATAAATCACTCGAGGTCGCGCTAGCTCCGTAGCCGGTGCTAGCTAGCTCCGCAGTGCTACTAGCTTTTGTTGCCGCGTTGTGTTTGTCCTGTGTTTTAGGCATTTTTACTTCTTGTCCTCCTCTTTTGCTTCTGTCCCCTTTCAATCGCGTGTTTTGCTCTGTTTAGTCTATCTAAATGCGAGTTTCTTGGGGTTTTATCCTTTTTATTTCAGAGAGCAGCCACCAGGCACGTCTACCCTACTCCATTTTCCCGGAAGCCCTCACAATCTGCATTTTTGATGACACATCCTAAATAACATGACTATATATGTATGTATGTATATATGTATACAGATTTGTCTTTTAAAACTGGTGAATATACAATTTACAGGTAATGCCTTTATGTTATGAGTATTAGAGCCACTGATGGAAAAAAAAATATAGAATTCTGAGAAAATAAGTCATAAATCTGAGTTTAATCTCAGAGTTCTGACTGGTACCTAAAACAAAAAAAAAGGGGGAAATTGGGGAAGATTATGAGGGGGGATCAGAATTCTGACTTAAATCTTAAAATTCAGGCTTTTTTTGTTTGTTTTGATTTTTTTATCAAAAACAATTCCTAAATAGTTTTTTGTTTGTTTGGTTTTAGGTTCATGAAAAAAGTCAGAATTCTGACTTTAATCCCAGAATTTTGAAATTATCTGACTTTTTTTTTCTCATTTCTTTTCTTTTTCTTCAGTTACTCTAATACTCTTAGGCAATAAGGCAGTATTAGGGCCACTGAAGGAAACAATTGAATACTGAGATAAATGTCAGAATTCTGACTTTATTTATTTTCAGAATTTTTTCTTCTTCAGTGGCTCTAATACCCCTCCGTATTATGTAATGTTAAACACTTCAAATTAACTTTTGAATTCAGCAGTTTATCATTGGATTTAGATGCAGATATCACTGTCTTGGAAAATTGGTCAGAGCAGTTTGGCATTGAGTTTGATTAGTAAACTTGACAGTATTTACACTCTTAAAGAGCAAGTAACGTCTAAATTAACTTTTTTTTGCTGATGAACTGTATAAATGAGTGTCTAATTGTGTTTTAAATGTGTGCATTCTTTATTTTAGCATTTTGGTTCATTTTCTTTAAAAATTAAAAATTCTGTCTAAAAACCACAGTAATGCGCCACCTTCAGCTGAAAACATAGAATTTGAGTCATTTTGATTAAATTTTAGCCAATGGCTAAAGAGTAAAGTACTACGTAAACCAGTAGAGTACTACGTAGCAGCTCCGTGCCAAAGTTATAAAAGCAACGGGCGTCTCGGCCACGCCCTGTGGCGCGTGGGAGTTGGATTTGCAAGCGAGCTTAGGAGGGCAGCGGTAGTTCAGCATTAGCATATAGCATTAGCATATCCTAGTCTTTAGCATATCTTTTAGTGTTATAAATACTTATTTAGTGTTAGCTTGGCTGTTGGATATTGTAGTTTAGTTAGTGTTTGGCTGTTAGCGTAATTGGGAAAGTATTTCGGTTTTAGTGTTCATATCGTCTTAGTATTGGTGAGATGGTGTAATGTAGTATGCTTGCGGTGACTCTGTGGGCATTTTACCCGCGATTCTGCACGTCTCCGTTTGAAGAGGGAGGCTGCCCACCGTGGCTCTTCCGCGATTTAGATGCAGCCCACCGACTCTGCTCCCCCACCACGGCAGGCTCCAGTCTGAGGTGAGTAAGCTAAATAAACGTTTTAACATCTTCTAAAGACAATTCCCTACCTAAATGCAAAGTCTGAGAGACGTGGTTCACTTCCTTTAGCTAGTCAGTTGGCAATTCTGCAACAGTGGCTCTAACTGACGCAGCACTAGTTGACAGACATCATTACAGCGTGAAATCCAGCTTGTGAACAGGTTCTGTGAGGAATTCTGTTCAGGAGGTCGCATTTCAGGCTCTCCACATCATATGTGACGGACTTTTACGTTATAACAACGATCACACACTAGGAATGTTATAAAGCGCCTATATAGGAGATTCTTTTGTATATTATCTGACTTTATAAACTCCCAACAACAATGTGCTTCTATTTTTTTTTCAGGCTAAATCTACCCAAGACACTGGCTGTCAGACTGATTTAGCTGCATGAATGTACTTGTCCAGGCTGATGTGAAACCTTCCCTGTAGCAAAGGTGAATTATTTTTAATAATCTTCTATGTAAACATTTTATTATTACCTTCTAGTTTTAATTTGTTTTACAGATTATTGTTATACGTGATTTTATGCTCTTTTAAACATTTATAAATGTGCTGCTTCTTTGTTTTTACATAGCCAGTCAGAATGGAGTTCACAGCCGCAGTGTGTCTGGTGACCCACGGGGACCATGATGAAAATTCATCTTCCAGAAGGTCCCAGAGCGTCCAGACCCCCTGAAAAGACCAAGGTGTGAGGTGTCTGCTGTTGATTCCAGCTTCCACCTCAGTGACAGTGCAAGCTCAGTGAACTGTTCAAGGTAATAAATAAAAATTAAAACATTTCAGATTTTTAAAGATATTAACAAATAAGTATGTGATTACATCATGACGGGGGCTACTGATTCTGCCCCTGTGACACTTGGTGGTGACGTGTGAGCTGATTCACCTGGAAAACAACTTTTACATTAAATATTTTGTTTTTGCTATCAAAAGTAAATTAACTAATAACCTGCATTATTGCAGGCCACTCAGCAAAATATGGACTCTACACCATGAGGCATGCACACATTAATATTCTATAAGAGCACATAAGGTGAGCAACACCACATATTATTGTACACTGTCCTGAATTTGTTTTCTTTCTGCATCTCATCATTAGCCTGGCTGATCACCTGATAACTCCTGTCATCTGGTTATGACAGCATGAGGATGTCCTCACACACCTGTAACCTATCAGCTCATCTGGCAGAATAGAGAGAGAAGAGACAACACCACATCTCCTGTTCCTGGAAAGCCTTCAGCCATCCTTTGATGACTGAGAACCTCCATCAGCTCTGTCTCCTGTCTGCCTACAATTATTATAATAAATATTGTGTTTGACAAGTTTTTTGTGCTGCCAAATATCTCATTTAGATTCGTTTTGATATTTTAATGGATATTTATAAATTACATTGATTATCACATTTTTGTTGCATGTTTAACTAGCTATTGTGATTAATTAAACTAGCACCTCGCTGTTAAAAGCTCGTTTTAATTTCAAGCATGTTTAAGTATTTATGGACATGAACAAAAACAGGAAATATATAAATTGAGATTTATTTAATTAATATAACAAATAAGGGGGAAAGAGTCATTGAAAGGCACGTTCTTCTGGAAGCTCCTGATCCTGATGGCACCAGCAGAGGAGACCACCTGCAGACACCAGAGGCCAGCTGCAGACACCAGAGGACCTAGAACCGAGAGAGCAGCTGTTATTAGTAAATAAATAAAGAAATCAGGGCAGTTTTAGTGGGCTGAACACATTACAGAATAATTTTCTCATGGGGTATTTTCATAACTTTATATGCAGCAGACTGTAACTTGAGCCCAGAGCTACCGGAGAGCTGCTATCCAGCATGTTTCAGTGGATTTTCCTGCTTTAACAGGTTAGATTAGCTGTTAAGCAGCTCAGCTATTTGTTGCTGATTAAAACCAGGTGTGCTGAAGCAGATAAACCTCTAAAACATGCTGAATACTAGCTTTTTAGGGCTGTGGAGACAAACCCTGCAGCTAATCCAATGCTATGGCTAACGGCTACTTACCTTTCAGAGGTGATTCTGTTGGGTCGGTTCTGGGAGTTTCAGGCAACTCACAAGCTCAAAACAATAAGACTCAGGTCCGCTTGTCTCCTCCAAATAGACTTGGTCCCTTTCTTCTCGAGTGTCTGTGTAAAGAGGGGGAGAAACGTCCTCCACTTCTAATGACCGCTCAGAGTGAAGGGAGCTAGCTTCGTCTAGTTAGCCATCGTCTTCGTCACTGCCGCGGCTCCGCCCACTCGGTCCTCCAGGCAACGCCTACTAATGTTGCATTTTTTAAAATTGATACGTGGGTGGAGAAGGACTCCGAGGCTCAATTGACCCGCTCTTTAATCTTCTTAGGAATTACATGATGTCCACACAAGGCGTACCACTGTTCTCCATGCCCTTCCTGTCTATCTACGTGAGGAAACCTCTGGATTTTTGAGGACATGTGTGGTAAGTCCCAGTATTGTAAATTTGAACAAATCATTCTATTTATTTATGCATAAAGACAACACAAGGACATTTTGGAAAAAGTGCCATTGTTTCAACTACAAACCTTTGGCAAGATGTTTAAAGAGCAAGTAACGTCTAAATTAACTTTTTTTTGCTGATGAACTGTATAAATGAGTGTCTAATAGTGTTTTAAATGTGTGTATTCATTATTTTAGCATTTTGGTGCATTTTCTTTAAAAATTAATTTTTCAGCCTAAAAACCACAGTAATGCGCCACCTTCAGCTTAAAACACAGAATTTGACACATTTTGAATAAATTTTAGCCAATGGCTAAAGAGTAAGATACTACGTAAACCAGTAGAGTACTACGTAGCAGCTCTTGTGCCAAAGTTATAAAGCAACGAGAGTCTCGGCCACGCCCTGTGGCGAGTTGGGAGTTGGATTTGCAAGCGAGTGTAGGAGGTTAGCGGTAGTTCAGCATTAGCATATATCATTAGCATATTCTAGTCTTTAGCATAGCTTTTAGTGTTATACATACTTATTTAGTGTTAGCTTGGCTGTTAGATATTGTAGTTTAGTTAGTGTTTAGCTGTTATTTTTATTAGGAAAGTAATTCAGGTTTAGTGTTCCATATCGTGTTAGTATGGTTAAAAGGTGTAGTGTAGTTGGTTGTGGTGGCTCTGTGGGGTTGCACTCCTTTCCACTGGACTTAGAAATTAGGCGCCAGTGGTTGCGCGCAATCGGTGTACTGGAAAACAGTCAGCTCCCGCCTGGTGCTGTAGTCTGCAACCAGCATTTTACCCGCGATTCCTTCGCCAACATGATGGAGTTTGAACTGGGTTATTCTGCACGTCTCCGTTTGAAGAGGGAGGCCGTGCCCACCGTGGCTCTTCCACGAATTAGATGCAGCCCACCGACTCTGCTCCAACACCATGGCGGGCTCCAGTCTGAGGTGAGTAAGCTAAATAAAAGTTAGCATCTTCTAAAGACAATTTCCTACCTAAATGCAAAGTTTGAGAGACGTGGTTCACTCCATTTAGCTAATATCAGCCTGCACTGCCTTCGGGCTAATTTGTCAAGTTCACAAAATGTGGAACGGGATGTAAGGTTAGAATCAGCGGCGAATCGGAACATTTCTCAAAGCCCTGGCCGACAAAAAAGGTCCACTTGACTATTTCTGTCAGGCTCGGAGAAAATTCGGGTTGTTTTTGTGTCAGTCGGTAATTCAGCAACAGTGGCTCTAACGCAGCACTAGTTGACAGACATCATTACAGCGTGAAATCCAGCTTTACACCAAAGCCTAACCCGGTTCTGTGAGGAATTCTGTTCAGGAGGTCGCATTTCAGGTTCTTCACATCATATGTGACTGACTTTGACATTATAATAACGATCACACACTAGGAATGTTATAAAGCGCCTATATATATATATATATATATATATATATATATATATTGGACAGTTTCTTTTGTATATTATATGACTTTATAAACTCCAACAACAATGTGCTTCTATTTTTTGTTTCAGGCTAAATCTACCCAAGACGTTGGCTGTCAGACTGATTTAGTAATCTGCAAAAATGCACTTGTCCAGGCTCATGTAAAGCCTTATCGACGTAGCAAAGGTGAATTATTTTTAATAATCTTCTATGTAAACATTTTATTATTACCTTCTAGTTTTAATTTGTTTTACAGATTATTGTTACACGTGATTTTATGCTATTTTAAACATTTATAAATGTGCTGCTTCTTTGTATTTTACATAGCCACACAGTTTAGAGCTCCCAGCCGCAGTGTGTCTTGTGACACAGGTACCGTGACGGAAATTCATCTTCCACAAAGTCCCAGAGCTGCGTCCACACCCCAAGGTGTCCCGTTTGTACCGGTCGTTGTGTTGTGAACACGACAACAGTCGGCACACTGCTCCGTGTGACACAACGGTGTTCATGCTGTGAGCACTACAATGAATGGTCCAGTCAGCCCATGGTGAACAGCATCCCAGCAGGAAACCTCCAGCTCTGTGCTGCTGTCCTTTTCACAGGCTCATCATTTAGCCAGATTTCTAAGGTATAGGCCAAAACTGTTTAGGTTAGTTTTGATAAGGTCTGTGCGTCTCTCATTTCATGTCGTAACTTTTCATATTTTAGTTCCTGGGTGCCTTCAATGTGCAGGGACTGTCCAAGCAGTCATTCTGTCGGCATCAGGCAAAGCTCTTAATTCCAACAGTGAGCTGGCAGTGGCAGCTAGAGCAAGCTGATATCATCCAGGAGGCTACTGAATCTGGACCTGTGACTCTTGGTGGTGACATGCGAGCTGATTCACCTGGTGAATACGTTTAAATTTATTTATTTTATTCCTTTGCTATCAAATGTAAATTAAGTAATAACTTGCATTTCTTGAAGGACACTCAGCCAAATATGGCAGCTACACCATGATGGATCTCAAAAGAAACAAAGTTATTGATATCCAACTTGTACAGGTACAACATTACCTGATGATTCCAAAACATTTAATGGTTAATTATTCACAGATCAATGGAGAATTATGTTTATTTTCAGAGCAATGAAGTTGGGAATAGTGTGCGAATGGAGAAGGAGGGATTTGTGCGAAGTCTGAGCACACTTTTGGAGAGGGGGGTCGATGTGCAGCAAGTCGTGACTGACCGCCACACAGGAGTGCAGAAGTATTTGAGGGAGGAAAAAAAGGAAATCAGTCACTACTTTGACCCCTGGCACATGGGAAAAGGTAATCTTTGGGGATGTATATAGTGAATATTACAGGATTTTTTTTTCTATTTTAAATGTGGGTCTATTTGGCTCTCCAGGAATTGGTAAGAAAATCGAAGAGCTGGGGAAGAGAAAGACGACCCAGGATGTGAGACTGTGGAAGCAAAGTGTGGTGAACCACCTCTACTGGTCAGCATCCAGTTCCTCCTCAGGACAGGAGGCAGTTGCAAAGTGGACTTCAGTTGCCAACCACATCCAAAATGTGCACAGCCATGACAACGCCCTGTTCCCTAGCTGTCTGCATGCACCTCTGGATGGAGAACAGGCAAGACAGTGGCTCAAACCAAGTAAGTGTAGCATGTACTCATTACAGCTGAGCCTTTACTGTTTGGTTTATTTACATTTAAAACACGTCACCCCACAACAGAATATTTGTCTTCACCTCCTTCAACATGGAGAAATATTTTTTGAGCATGAGAGTTACAGACGTCACATGTAGCTGCTAAGGTCACACACCACCATTTGGCCAACAGCAATTAATTACTAAGAATAAAATGCTGTGCAGAAATTTAAACACACGAGTGCGCCACACAACTCATGGTTTTAGGCAGAACAGCCATAATTGACATAATATGTACTAAAATGCCGTAAGTAATGACCACACCTGTCTACAGCACTATTAGTCACTCTTTCATACATTTGTCATCTAAAAATGTAAGCTATGGGTAACTTTTTCTCAATGGAAATAATAGCAACATTCTAAAGTTGATCAAATTGTAATTTTTGTAATCAACATTTTCTACGTAGGCACAGCATCATGTGAGAAGCTCACTGCCATTCTGTTAGCTCCACGGTTTGTGAAGGACGTAGAGAAGATAAGCCCTCAGTACCACACATCCACCTTGGAGGCTTTCCACAGTCTCATCGTCAGATTTACTCCAAAAAGTCAGGTCTTCTCCTTCAAAGGAATGCTGTCTAGGTAATGAATACAACAAATGTTCAAATTAATGCCTCTAATTGTTCAAATTTTAGCATGAAATGTAGAATTTTGCCTCAAATCTACATGGTTTGTTTATTTGATTATTTCAGATTACAAATTGCTGCAATGCACTATAATGAAAATGCAGCACGCTCACATGCAGCAACAGCAACTGGTGAGCTGAGATATGCTGTAGTGTACCCAAAGTACAAACGTGGAGACTACACAGTGAGAGCCCTGAAGACCAATCCAACCTCATGTATGTCATATATTGTATGATAAAACCAAAATGATGGTCATGGAGAGCTATTGTAATACTGAAAACCCTTTTCCAGTATATGTGCACAAGCTTATGGACCTGCTGTTCGACTCTGTGGTGGTGGATCCTCTCCCATATCAGGAGTACTCGGACAAAATTACGGTTCCAGAACCTCTCTGTGCCCAGTTCCAAAGACCAGATAAACGGGATGCTGTGAGCAGGCACAGGTCCAGGTTTTAAAGTGCACGTCAGGTGAGCTACACAGGAGATTGTAATTATTAGTTAGTACTCTACTCTGTGTGGTTTCTCCTTTTCTCCTCCTCAGCCAGGCTGCACACCACTGTACGACAGAGGAGTTACCTGTCGTCATTATGGATCTTTATGCTCATCCACTCGTGACTCATGCTGTCCACCTCCCAGATGTCTATTGATCTCTACAACCTTTCTGCTCTGTGGCTCCCATACAACTTGAAAATCTTGGCCGTATGTAACATAGCAAAACTCACCAGTCTTGCTTTTGTAAGTCATACTAGTCATACTAATATTACTTTTTCCTTAGAGCCTCCTGATCTTGTAACAGAAAAACCTGTGCTCCCGGGATCCATCTCCACGTTTGTCATCACAGTGAAAGCTACCTCCAGTCTAAGGAACCTATGAAACCTCACTGTTGGCCCAACCTCTCCTCACATGGCTCCAGAATCTCTGCTTGTGGTTTAGAGTTTTGTCAAAAATCTTGAAAGTTATGATCAGATTGTTATCTAACATTGTCTTAGTAGTAGCTATAATAAATGTTATCTTTAAAGCGCAATTGTGTCTTTTTAAATACAATTATATTGATATTTTGATGTGTATAAATACATATATCACATTTATTATCATTCATTTTTACCTAATTGAACCTGCTCTAGAATAGACTTCATTAATCACACAGGGTGTAAACTCACTTGTTACAGCAGCATTAATTAACCCCGAATTAGAACCTTACTGTTGTAAGCTCATTTGAAAGTATGTGGCTATATGTGTGTATATATAAATAATGTCAAAGTGTAAAGAAGTGCATTTACCGTTTTGTGATTTATGCAGCTTTTTATGGACAGGAATCAATACAGGAAATATATATTATAACATTTATTTAATCAAAAAAAAATATATTAGTTCAGAGGAGGGAGGAATCCTTTGTATGCACCGTCTTCTGGGAACTCCTGCCTTATTCTGGAGACAGCGCATGACGGGATCACAACACGAACGTGCTGTCCCAGGTAACCCCAACACCACCTGACCACATTCCGGTACGCCAGATGTCTGTAACAGCTGAGAAAGAGGTGGTATGAGTTATAAAGTATTCATAAAAAAAGTAATTTGACAGTTGTCTTACCTGTTGAGCGTAGTCTCCTGCATCTACCCATAGAGTTGCAGAAAGGTGCCATAAACTGCCTGCAACACGTAGGGATTCAGAGCAACAGCCTCAAAACCAGGATGCTCTGTTATGCAGGAGGTTACACCCACCTGCTGACACCTGAGCATTACCTATGACAAAGAACAACTGATATCAGGTCTATAAGAGTTCAATATTAGTATGATGTTAGTGATTGTGTAACAAATGTGTACATTACAGAATGCTTTTCTCATGGTGGGGTACTTTTATTTTTATACCTTGGGCGTTTCTCTGCAGCACACATTTTCTCTGGCAGACAATGATGTGCAGTGGCCGCAGGTGCACCTGTCGAGGCAGTCATACAATATTACTTTTAGCTAAGCTAAATATAGCTAGCTGTGGCTAAAAGCTACTTACCACTCAGAGACTGGACCCATTCGATGCCTTGATACTCCTGCTGGCTCGACTCCAGGGGCCTCTGACAACTCACGAGCTAGTGGCTCAAAAAGATACGGTTCAGGACCGCTTGCTTCCCCCAATAAGCCCTCCTCCCTATCCTCTGGGGAAGAAGGTGGGGAAAAGTCCTCCACCTCGAATGACTGCTCTGAGCTAGTGTCGCTCTCCGTCGCCATCTGTATTCAAATTTCAGTATGTCAATCACGGCCGTAGCTCCGCCTTCTCGGTCTTACAGGAAACGCCTCTTTGGGCCGCATTTTTCAAATATGAAATGTGGGTGGAGTAAGACTCTGAGGAGGCTGTTACCACTACTTTAAGCCTGCCATACACGAGAGCAATCAGCTGAGCAAACGGCCTCGAAGGACTGTTTGCTCAGCAGATACCTCGCCATGTGCGCCTGATTTTCACCGAGTTTTCTGCCTCACGAGACGCTGAGGTGAATATCTGACCAGTTAGATATTTTCTGCCTCACAGGGGTAAAAACTCGCTGTGTGTGCACTACTGAGCTGCTGGCTAAGCTGAAATATTCTAGTGGCCAATCAAAGCACTTTCTCCGCTCACATGACCCCAAGATGTATTCAGATACAGCCCCTTACCTTGTCTGCGTGTCTGAAAAATAAACAAAACGGTACCTTGTGGATCGATGGGCCCACTGTTACCATTACCCTTTCGGAAGGATTCTGGGTCTTCCAGGTGCATCTCTTGGAGTAAACTGGCATAAACTCCTTGCCTGGTCCATCTTTCCAGCTACTGTACCCATATTTTCCTAACCTTCAAATGCCGGTGGCGGCGACGTTTCAACAAAAAAGGATAGGCATTTCCTCCGTTTCCAGCTCTGTCTCTGTGTTGTTTCTTTTCTGACATGCAGACAGGGGGCTGCCATCTTGGGGTCATGTGAGCGGAGAACGTGCTTTGGTTGGCCACTAGAATATTTCAGCTCAACCAGCAGCTCGGTAATGCGCACACGGCGAGTTTTTACCCCTGTGAGGCGGAAAGTATCTTAACTGGTCAGATATTCACCTCAGTGTCTCGTGAGGCGGAAAACTGTGAAAATCAGGCGCACATGGCGAGGTATCTGCTGAGCAAGCGGTCATTCGAGACCGTTTGCTCAGCAGATGGCACTCAGGCAGGCTTTAAGGCACTGAGAAAAATCAATAATCACTGCAAAGAATTCAAGTAGCTTTCATTAGCGTAACGCTGGCACACACTGAAGCCATCTCACTTTATTCGTAAATGAGAGCACAAAGCAACAGAATGAACGGCAGTAGGGCTGGGCGATATGGCCTAAAATCAATATCACCATATATTGAAGATCTCACCTGGATAACGATAAGTAGACGATAACTACAGGAATGCGTAGCAACAATATTTGTCCACTAGATGGGGCTGTCTCATGTATTACATTGACTAAAATTTTACATGACTCAAGGTGCTACAGCTTCTTAAAGGGACATAAATGTGGCCAACTTACACATCTTTTCATTTTTTTATTATCAAATTTATTGACATGGGAAAAATTATCTGGATGAGAGACAAGAACTTGGATAACGATAAATCTTTGACATGTTGCCCAGCCCTAAACAGGAGTCTATCAGACTGCATTTATTGTTATTTACATGACAATCTACTGAAATAAAAATGGCCACAGTCAGAGTTTCAGTTCAGATGTGATTAGTGTATGATCTCCCTTTCATTTTTGTAAGGATGATACCAATGAGCCGGACCTCAGGGATGCAGCAGTTGTCCTCCTGACAACCATCACAGATGATGCCGAGAGTCCAGTTACGTACGACCCAGTGAGAATCTGTTATCCTCGAGGGTGATGTGATTGTCAACCTCTCCAGCCTTCCTGATGCCTTCCTGGTAATGTTCGGCCTCATCTATGCCTTACATCTAGATTATCCGAAGGGACTGACCAACACATTTGAGTTCACGCAGAAAATCTTACTTGGTCTTGATGAGTCTAAACTATCACCCAAGCTGCAGAGTCAAAAATGACCTGATGTTACACGTGTAACTCAAAATCTGAAAGAGTGGTGGATTCAGATGGCTCACTCTGTTGGAGCATTGTCCACATCCACAATGTAATTTACTATTTGTCTGCTCTTTAATTGTTGATGTTAAAGTAACACACCACCATTTGGGCAAATATGTTCATTTTCCACTTCTCCTTGAGTTAACCCCCCCACTGTCCTAATGGGTGTGACCCCCGCGAGGAAAGTTGACCATTGAGCAGGGTTGATGGTTCATCCCTTGGGTCCACGTGGCAGGGGTGAGGAGTGAGCACCACCTCACCCCTGCCACGTGGACCTCAAGGGATAAACCATCAACCCTGCTCAATGGTCAACTTTCCTCGCGGGGTCACCCATAAAGACAATGGGAGGAACAGTTGAGTTTTACCTTTTCTCTGTTCGTCCAGCCGTTCTGAGTCTGGCAACTCCATTTGTGGCTTTAGTTTAGCGTGAATAATTGAATCGGATTAGCCCATAGGCTAATCCGATTCAATACTCAACTAGTTTTATGCCAAATGGCATAAAGTACTCACTGACTTACTTGATAGTGGTTAGTGTAATTCATATTTTGTTAATGTTGAATCGATGTGCATCCTGATGTTGCTTTAAACCACCTACTCAAAGAAAGACTACACACTGCTGTTGTCCAGTTTTCAAAAGTGTGCGTTTGTAATTGTTTCTTTCAAATTTTGTTTTATTTTCTGTTTGAGTTGGCTTAATCAGTAACTTTAATTTGATCATAATTTGAAAATATATTTAATATAAACTCCAAATATTTAAGTTTATTTATGGTCTGATATACTCAAATATCTGAGTTTATAAACTCAGAAAATATGAGGCAACTGATTGCCTTACATTTTTTGAGTTCTGCCTACTTATTCGGGTTTACAGTGTACGAACTGTAAAGATTTTGTGGTGTCAGAGTTCACCTAACAGTTCAAGTGTTCATTTTTTTGCTTTGTGTGTTCACAGGGCATGCTCAGTTGAAGTTTCCATCTCTGCGCGTTCAAGATGTAAGAAAAATAACACGAAAGAAATGCAACAATGAAAACTTCAAAAAGGCATCAACAACCAAGCAAGTGGATCCATAAAATGGACTGATTTTTTAAAGGCATTTTTAAAAAGTCTTTCAAAATGGACAGAATTAACGCGTCATGTTCAGAACAGTTTGCGTTCTCATCTTTGATTAATCCTGGTAAACAGGTCTGTTTTTGTTCTGTTCTAATTCTCTGTTTAATAAATTTAAACAAAATGACTTAGCTATTTTATTAAAAAAAATTTCTCTGCATAAAGACGAAGTATCAGTAAATAGTGGAAATTAAATGTATTGGTAGTAAGCAAATAGCAGATGTTAAATGTTACTTGCAGTATGTGTTTATAGAAAAAATAGAGATACTTAAATGTACTAAAAGAATATTACGTCAAGTTTACTGTAAAGTGTACTTTCAAAACTGTAAGTATACTCAATTATATAAGAAGTACACTACAAGTAAACATACATTATTACTTTAAGTATAATTTTAAGTATACTTTCAAAGAGAAAAGTATACTCAATTATTTCAGAAGTGCACTACAAGTAAACTTATAATGTTACTTAAAGTTTATTTTTAAGTATACTTTCAAGGGCAAAAGTTTACTCAATTTTATTAGAAGTAAACTTATACTGTTACTTTTAAGTATACTTTCAATGAGAAAAGTATACTCAATAGGGCTGGGGGTAAACGATTATTTTTAAAACGATTATTCTGACGATTATTTTATCGAATAGTCGACTATTCTAATGACTATTTATACAATTAATCTAATGATTATTTTTCTATTGCACAATTAACAAAAACCAGAAAATCTCAAATAAATTCCTCAAAAAAATTGATAAATTGTTACTGTAAGAGAATAAACACTACAGGCCTTCCATTTTGTATAACACTGCTTTTATTGTGTTGCGGTTGGTTATGTTCTGATGACGTGTAGAACTTGGGAGTGCAGGCTGCTGCCTGAGAGGTGGTAGAAGATGGAGTGTCTCCATGCTGCTTTGTTTTGGTCACTTATGTGCGTGAGGCGAGTGGTCTTACGGGTTAAACCAAACTCAGGTGATATTTTACACTAAACCAAAAACCCACAACACTCTAAATGTAATAAAAGGGAGATCTACACCACAAAAAAGATGAACTCTAAACCAAAACGTAACAGCTTATTCCAATGCAAGAAGCTGTTAGCGAAGATGCTAACAGTAGCTTTACCAATGTTAAGTTCAAGTTGCCAAGTTTAAATAAACCAAAATACCCAGCAGCAAACAGACCAGCACGGAGGAGAGACTGCTACCACCAAAACAGCTCTCCTCATGTCTGAAAGAAGCTCCTTAATGAAGGGAGAAACGCTCCCGGTGATTTTCTACATCTGCGATAGACACGAAGCAGCGCATCTGACCCCGGAAGTTGTTGTCCGTTGCCGGGAGACGAAGGCGGGCAAAACAGGAAAGGAATCTAGTAGTGGACGGACATTGTTCAGGGTCTTCGGTATTTGGCGGAGATGTTAGTGAAGGCGGAGAAGAGGGCGAACTAGAGGAAAAACGGGCAGATTCCTCCTCTATTTACAAACTCCTGGGGATGCAACATGTGGGCGCGGTGCGTCGACTTCCGGATCTGACGTCGACAAATTTTTAGAATCGAGCCGTCGACTTCGTCGAGGCTTCGCTACAGCCCTAATACTCAACTATATCAGGAGTACACTACAAGTAAACTTATATTGTTACTTTTAAGTATACTTCCAAGGAGAAAAGTATACTCAATTATATCAGAAGTACACTACAAGTAAACTTATAAGTATACTTTCAAGGAGAAAAGTATACTCAACTATATCAGGAGTACACTACAAGTAAACTTATATTGTTACTTTTAAGTATACTTCCAAGGAGAAAAGTATACTCAATTATATCAGAAGTACACTACAAGTAAACTTATATTATTACTTTAAGTATAATTTTAAGTATACATTCAAAGAGAAAAGTATACTCAATTATTTCAGAAGTACACTACAAGTAAACTTATAATGTTACTTAAAGTTTATTTTTAAGTATACTTTCAAGGGCAAAAGTTTACTCAATTTTATTAGAAGTAAACTTATACTGTTACTTTTAAGTATACTTTCAATGAGAAAAGTATACTCAACTATATCAGGAGTACACTACAAGTAAACTTATATTGTTACTTTTAAGTATACTTCCAAGGAGAAAAGTATACTCAATTATATCAGAAGTACACTACAAGTAAACTTATAAGTATACTTTCAAGGAGAAAAGTATACTCAACTATATCAGGAGTACACTACAAGTAAACTTATATTGTTACTTTTAAGTATACTTCCAAGGAGAAAAGTATACTCATTTATATCAGAAGTACACTCCAAGTAAACTTATAAGTATACTTTCAAGGAGAAAAGTATACTCAATTATATCTGAAGTACACTCCAAGTACACTTGTGAGGTTACTTTAAGTATACTTTCAAAGAGAAAAGTATACTCAATTATATCAGAAGTACACTACAAATAAACTTAAATTATTACTTTGAAGTATACTTGTAGTATACTTCAAGTATACTTTTAGCGGCCCAATTTAGTCCCAAGGAGTATACTTCTAAGTAAACTTTAAGAACAAGTATGCAAATAAACTTCTGTACACTTAAGTATACTTGAAATTAAATACTTAAAGTATACTTCTTTTTCGTAAGGGTATACATGGAAAAACCTATAGGAATGCTAATGCTAATATTGCCGATTACATTATTACAAATTATGAATTAGAAACGTGCCAAATGATTACATTTGGAGTCTAATAGAAAGTAAAACTACCATCAATCAAATAAGTACAGACAGGTATTTTAGTAAAGCCAGAAAACTTTTAACTCCAGAGTTTTGGCTAGCAGCTATGAGCGTAACTGAACTACGCATGGACAAGACGTCAAAAACTCTAAACACAAAATACTTCAATAAACGGGACACACTTCTTTCCTGCAAATACAATTTCACAGGTGTTGCTAATACCTATGATTCTTCAAGGGATGTGCTCAAAGAGGAGTTCAACATTATGAATAAAATATAGTGTTTTATACCATTATAAACACAAACTTATGTCTGAAGAAACATTATTTTAATAAAGAAACTGCTAAATTCTTTCCAACAGTATAGATGTGTAGTGTATTTTGTCCGAGTGGGTTTGCCGTACTTTGACGTCATCGGCAGTCGAAGGACCCCGAGCCGATCTTGCACCAGAGCAGATCTTGTACCGACACCGGTATCCATGTAAGTATACATGAAAGCCAAAATGTCTGGAAAAAATGTGGCACTGCACAACTTAAATTGTATTTATGTTTTTTGCTTTTAAACCAGAGCTAAACAAAATATAGCGCTTGTTCTTCTGACTCTGTGCATTACTGTGTGGTATGGGACCTGCTCTTCTGCATAGGGAAGATCTGCAGCATGTGGTCAATCCTGCACAGAGATTACTTGATGCAGTCTATCTCCCTCAAAAGTTACATTTACGGCCTTTACCTTATTGACCAGATTCAAACATTGAGCATGCGTTGCGTCCCAAAGTTGAGGTTGTGACCCCACTGTGGGTCACTATGAACTACACAACAGTCTTGAGATAATTTCCAGAAATCTAAATAAAATTGAAAAGCAATTGCTGAAGTTAAAGGGACAATGTGTAGTTCTTACCATTAATTTCTGGAAATATCCATCAAAATGTAGTTGAAAAAGGATGAAATGAAGCCCAGTTGTTGAAAAATATTGGCGGCTTTGTAACAAATAGCCATAAAAATCAGGTCTCCAATACATGGGAGTGGGTCTAAGGGTGTTTCTCAATGCCAAGGAATCTCGCCTTGATGTCTTGGCACCACCCCAATTGCCTACGAAATATGTCATCAGGAGCCGACAAGTCGTGTTTCGATGTTTATGTACTACCGAGGCGTGTGTTCTCTGTTTGTTAGCCGTTTAGCTAGCTCAGCAAGGATACACGGGAGGTGTCTTGTAGCCTAGCCTTGTTTTAAAAAATTTCCCAGAATAAACTGCGGTATTTTCAAAAGGATTGCAGATCAGAAGCCGGCCGCCACTTCGGGGGCAAATTTCAAGTTTAAATGTAAGTCAACTAATTTTAAATTTTTTTTAGATCCAATGGTTGGTTAGTTCCTTTGTTGCAGCTTTGGTGGCTAGCGGGTAGTAACTCACTTACATATTTAATTTAACAAATATATTTAATTTGAAAAATAAAAAGCTCATTATATATTTATATTGAAACTAATATGTCTAAAATATAACGTTATCTCCCGTGTCACATGATGTTACGTGACCACCGCGGAAGCCGCGGTCAAGTGATGCAAGTCTGTTCCATTTAACCGTTTTCTTTGACCAAGGAAGGATAGTGTCCTTGTAAGCAAGGCACCTGGCATAGCAAGACATCGCCTCGCAAGACCAGGCGCCTTGATATTGAGAAACACCTTAAGTCTCTGGGCGACGCCATATTAGATGCTATGTTCGGGGCAGCAGTAGCTCAGGTGGTAGAGCGGGTTGCCTCATGATCGGAGGGTCATGGGTTCGATTCCAGCTCCCGCCAGGGGTATCCTGCTGTTGTGTCCTTGGGTAAGACACTTCACCCAACTTGCCTGTGTTAGTGGTGGTCAGAGGGGCCGACGGCGCCAAATGGCAGCCTCGCTTCTGTCAGACCTCCCCAGGGCGGCTGTGGCTACAAGTAGTTTACCATCACTAGCAGTGTGTGAATGTGAGAGTGTGTGAAAGCGTCTTTGGGTGTCTAGAAAAGCGCTATATAAGTTCAATGCATTATTATTATTATTATGTTTCCATCTAAGGGAGCCCATGAGGACAAAATGCATTTACTGATTTGTAACTAACGGTTGCAAAACTTTTGCCATTCTTAAACAATGCTGTTTTACACATTTACCACTTCACTCATTGTCAGTGATGAAAGGGAGTCTGATCCGCTTTTCATCTTGCTTAACTTTGCACTCCCTAAGGCTTTTTGACCCTAATGTGCATCCGTTTGTAAGGTCTTACTCCAGCACAAAAATACTGCTTGCTTGCAACATTTTAGGTATCTACTGCCCCCTATAGCCAGGAAAAATACACACTGTCACTTTAAATTTCTAACACAATTGTAACAGAATCCCAACTAAACTGTCAGAAATGAATTTACAGGAACATGAGTTGAAGCAGTTCTCTTAATGACCCGAATGTTTTTGCTTTTTAACATGTTTGTGTTGTTAAACCAGAAGATATCTGGGGTCACGTGTCTTGATTGCTGTTTTTTGAATCTGAAGCTGCTCTAGTATGGAACAAGGATTGGGACAATATTACATTTATCTTGTACCAAGTTTTGTAACTTGTAATATGTTTTGTAACTGTGACTTTTGTTTTGTAGCATGCAATTCATGTTCCAGTTTTTTTCTTGTCCGGAGATCGGACCGCCAAGGCTTCCGCCTTGGTCTGCCACCCGATCCACATTGCACCGGACCCTTCATGTTCCTCCTGCGGGTGGTGGGTCCACAGTTGGATGAGCCCATGTATCCGGTTCGGGCTGGGCCCGGCCGGGCCCCATGGGCGAAAGCCCGGCCACCAGGCGCTCGCTCACGGGCCCCAACCCCAGGCCTGGCTCCAGGGTGGGACCCCGGTAACCCTCCGGGCCGGGTACTCCGACTCTTTGAATTTACCTCCATGAAAGATCCTGTGAACCGTTCTTTGTCTCACCCTTCACCTAAGACCAATTTATCATGGGAGACCCTACCAGGGGCACTAAGTGCCCCAGACAACATAGCTCCTAGGATCATTAGGGCACTCAAACTCCTCCACCACGATAAGGTGACTGATCAAGGAGGACGGTTCAGCATCTGCGGTGATGCAGACGCTGAGCCGATCTGTCGTGGTGAAGAGGGAGCTGAGCCAGGAAGCCAGGCTCTCGATTTACCAGTCGAGCTACGTCCCAATCCTCACCTATGGTCATGAGCTTTGGGCAATGACCGAAAGAACAAGATTGCGGATAGAAGCGGCCGAAATGAGTTTCCTCCGTAGGGTGGCCGGGCTCAGCCTTAGAGATAGGGTGAGGAGCTCGGACATTTGGGAGGGACTCGGAGTAGAACCGCTGCTCCTCTGGATCGAAAGGAGCCAGTTGAGGTGGTTTGGGCATCTGGTCAGGATGCCTCCTGGACGCCTCGCTGGGGAGGTGTTTCGGGCATGTCCTGCCGGCAGGAGGCCCCCGAGTCGACCCAGGACACGTTGGAGAGGTTACATCTCCAATCTGGTCCGGGAACGCCTTGGGGTCCTGCCGGAGGAACTGATGGAGGTGGCCGGGGAGAGGACGGTCTGGAGCTCCCTAGTTGGGATGCTGCCCCCGTGACCCGGACCCGTATAAGCAGAGGAAGACGACAACGGCAATTCATGTTTTGTAACATGTAACTATCATTTTGTAACAGGTAACTTTAGTTTTGTAGCATGTAATTCTCATTTTGTAACGCAATTTTGGTACGTAACATGAAACTTTTATTTTGTAACATGCAGAAAAAATTCAAAGTACTATTTCAAATCATAACTTTCAAAACACAAATCTCAGTCTACAGTTACAAAATTCAAGTCTACAAGTACAAAACATTTTGTTCCTATTCTAGCTTGCTTCCAACAGAAATTGTCTTCGAAAAGGAACCCAAGACTCATGATTGGCTGGTCAGACAATGCCTCTCATTGGTTCTTTGGGAAGGAAGCTAGAATTGGGACAAAATGTTTAGTACTTGTAGACTTGAGTTTTGTAACTATAGACTGAGATGTGTGTTTTGAGAGTTGTGATTTGAAACTTGTACATTGATTGTTTTCTGCAAGTTACTAAATGAAAGTTTCATGTTTTGTACCAAATGCTACGTGTTACAAAACAAGAATTACATTCTACTAAACGAAATTTACAGTTACAAAACATGTTACAGATTACAAAGCTTGGTACAAGTTAGATGTACTATTATCCCAATCCTAGTTCCATACTTTGGACCTCTGGAAGAAAACACAAAACTTTCTTTCAAAAAGTAATTTATTATAATCTGTTAAGGCACCTTGATACAACAGAACATTCTCTGTTTAGCTGAACTGTAAGAGAAACGGGTGAACATTCACACCAGTAAATCCACATCTTGCTGGATTTAAGAGGAAACTTTGTCAAAAGTCGAGTTGTACATGACTGAGTAGAAAAGTTTACATTAACACTTAAGTACAGTGTTTTTTGTTAACATTTTAACAAGTGTAATCAAACTTGTTGAGCTGTGCATATCCTTTGGTATAGAATATTGATTGAGATTTGAATATGTCATAAATAAGTGATCTCATCATTCACGTACGAAGGCACTGAAGAACAGCCTGAATCACGTTCAGACACTCAGCAGAAGAGATGACGTCTGATAGATGCCTGAAGCATTTTGAGGACAGCGGTGTCATGGGGGGTCCATTCTTTGGGTACAGCCTCTGTTATGTTCTCTCACCCTGAAGTTTTAGTTCTACCATTCACTCGATGGCACCTGGCCTGGTGGCTACATAGACGAAGAGGATGATAAGCAGCACCACTACAGCCAGGGTAGGAACCACCACGGTGGCCACCTGCTGTCGGGCTTCCTGCATCGCCTGCTTCCGCTCCTTCTTGTCTTTAGATGTCTCCTTTTTAGGTTTGCCTTTGAGCTGCCTCATGATGCTTCAGCGATGTCTCCGTCTGCTTTAGTCACACCTAAGTAAACGCAAAACAGCATACAAGTTTTCTTTGAGTAAACTGCTGAGCTTAAAGAGCAAGTCACCCCCTACCAGAGTCTAACTCCACTCCCACTTCATGTTTGAAAAATGCAACACATGCTGTTGCCTGGCAGACCGAGAGGGCGGAGCTGCTAACAAATACACACACACTCAGGCTCACGACAGCATAGTGACATCATAACGTACCAGTTTACATCATAGCATACCTCTTAGCCAATAGCGGTGGCAGATTTAAATTAAAATACAGTGCAGAGTTTTTACCTGACAACGGCACAACACTGCCAGTTTTAGGCAGAATATTTAAATTTGAACTAAGATGCACTGAAGTGCCAAATTATTGACGACACGTGTCTGCAGCACGATTAGACACTCGTTTATTTAGTTTATCAGCAAAAAAAAGTTTATTTGGGGGTGACTTGCTCTTTAAACTTCAGGAAAGCCTTTCAGTCAAATGCACTCACACAATTCAACTGCACACAAACAACGTGTACTATGGCAAAAGGGCTGGAAGGGTGGGAAAGAGACCAATCGGACAAAAACACGTTGAAGGGATGAAGATGTTGGCCATTTAATTATCTTGTTAATTTTAATGTAAAACTTTGGGTGGTAGTTAAAGACACTGTCTGTTTAATTACCATTATGGGATGGTCAATGATTGCCGTCCTCAAAAAGCGTACGCTCACCTAAAGGATTATTAGGAACAGCTGTTCAACTTCTCCTTAATGCAATTATCTAATCAACCAATCACGACAGTTGCTTCAATGCATTTAGGGGTGTGGTCCTGGTCAGTGGTGTGTCCACATCTTTTAAAATGGGGTGGCCCAGGTGAGGCACAACTTTGTGCATGGGTGGCACCAATGGTTATGCTTTTTGTGTTTTACCCCCAAGCCTTTTGTGGACAATGAAAAGCCTATTTAAAGGTAAATTAGTGTGATGGCACCTGGGGGTGGCCAGTCAGATTCCAAGGGTGGCATGTGCTACCCCAGGCCACTCCCTGGATACGCCCCTGGTCCTGGTCTTGTCAATCTCCTGAACTCCAAACTGAAGGTCAGAATGGAAAAGAAAGGTGATTTGAGCTATTTTGAGCATGACATGTTTGTTGGTGCCAGACGGGCCGGTCTGAGTGTTTCACAATCTGCTCAGTTACTGGGATTTTCACCCACAACCATTTCTAGGGTTTACAAAGAATGGTGTGAAAAGGGAAAAACATCCAGTATGCAGCAGCAGTTCTGTGGGCCAAAATGCCTTGTTGATGCTAGAGGTCAGAGGAGAACGGGCCGACTGATTCAAGCTGATAGAAGAGCAACTTTGACTGAAATAACCACTCGTTACAACTGAGGAATGCAGCAAGGCATTTGTGAAGCCACAACACGCACAACCTTGAGGCGGATGGGCTACAACAGCAGAAGACCCCACCGGAGACCACTCATCTCCACTACAAACAGGAAAAAGAGGCTACAGCTTGCACCAGCTCACCAAAACTGGACAGTTGAAGACTGGAAAAATGTTTCCTGGTCTGATGAGTCTCCATTTCTGTTGAGACATTCAAATGGTAGAGTCAGAATTTGGCGTAAACAGAATGAGAACATGGATCCATCATGCCTTGTTACCACTGTGCAGGCTGCTGGTGGTGGTGGTGTCATGGTGTGGGGGATGTTTTCTAGGCACACTTCAGGCCCCGTAGTGCCAGTTGGGCATGGTTTAAATGCCACGGGCTACCTGAGCATTGTTTCTGACCATGTCCATCCCATCATGACCACCATGTACCCATCCTCTGATGGCTACTTCCAGCAGGATAATGCGTGATGTCATGAAGCTCCAATCATTTCAGATTGGTTTCTTGAACATGACGATGAGTTCACTACTACAACGGCCCCCACTGTCACCAGATCTCACCCCGATAGAGCATCTTTGGGATGTGGTGGAACGGGAGCTTCGTGCCCTGGATGTGCGTCCCACACATCTCCATCAGCTGCAAGATGCTACCCTATCAATATGGCCGACATTTCTAAAGATGCTTTCAGTACCTTGTTGAATCAACGCCACGTAGAATCAAGGCAGTTCTGAAGGCGAAAGGGGGTCAAACACTGTATTAGTGTGGTGTTCCTAATAATCCTTTAGGTGAGTGTATTTATTCTGTATTTGTGACAATTGTCGCATTTTACTGTGCAGTTTGGGAAAAACACTGCACCTTGTTATTTTACAGTAATTTTCTAATCATACAGTAAAATAAGTCCCACTTCCTGTATGTATTAGAGTTGCATCAAACATGATCCAGGGTGCTTTTGCTTAATGCAAATATTTAGATTTGCATTAAGAAAAATCTGGGAAAATCCTTAACACCTATAATAATGACTGTCTGACTCTGGTGATATTAGAAAAGCGATTAACTTCATTTTTTATTTCTTACATAAGTGTAAAAAACATGTATTCAGTAAAGGCCCTATTAAAGCTTAATTCTACACTTAACACCCCACACAGTGTGAAAAAGTTTGAGAATTCTGCCAAATGTAACAACAAATAATAAGAAATAAGGCTGTGAACATATAAATTCTCAGTTTAGTGTATTTTTAATAAATATGCAAATGATTTTTTTCATGTTGTCATTATGAGGTGTTGTGTGTGGATTTTTGAGAAAAAATCTATTGAATCTATTTAGAATAAAGCTGTAACATAAGAAAATGTGGAGAAGCGATGAGCTGTGAGTTCTTCCAGGTTGAAACGCACAAGTAGATTTAAACTGCGATTATCTCTAAAGCTGTGGAGCGGAGAAAATCCCCGTCAACTAAAATATATATTTGAACTGAAAAACTATCAACATCAATAATGTCAGAATGTGATCTGACCAGTAGTCTGCATATGTGTGCATTAGTGAACAATAACAAGTCTTCCTTGTGAACAAAGTGAGTGAGTCATAGGCAACAATCAGATGTTAAAACAGGAATCGGACTCAGCTGTAACGCCAGAAAACAAACAGCTGCCTTTAATTATCTCCAAAACTGGATAAATGTGATATTTGTAAGTAACTAACGTCATAAACCCGGACCCAGAGTTTTGGACCAGCTGTTGTGTGCCAGTAGATGTCACACTGATGGACCTACTCTGCACAAATGAACTCGTTTTGTTTATAATCCTTAAACGATACAATCAAATATTGCTTTTCTTGTGCTTTAATACTGAATCGGCCGTGAACGCGTCTGGTCCGATTAACCAGGTTTTCTCTCACCTGATCAGTGGTAAAATCCCTGACGGGTGACACGTTTATAAGTAGTAACTGAAGCAGGAATCGACGCTAGTTAAATCACGTGATTGTAGATATTATACACTGATAAAGTTGAACAGCTGTCACGCCGAAGGCTGCTGACGAGTACAGACCAGATTCCTGGCGTGTGCGTAAAAGTTGCCCCTGCTGGAGTCACCCCTCTCGGGTTCGCTACCGAACTGTGGGCAATAATTAAGTGTTATACCTGCTGATCCGTAAAGAGTGCGAGAACACGGTTATTTGAAGAACGCGTGGAATAAACACTACTTTACAGCCACAAACTTTCTTCTTCGCCTTCTTTTCTTCTTTAAATCCTGTTTACGGCTGAAGGTGGACGACGACTTGCTGCCACCTAGTGGAGACGCGCCAAACAGCAGTCAGCAAACCCAACGTCATTTCTGTTCCACATTTATTTATTTAAAAATATTTAAATAGTACTTTTAATGTTTTTCTCTATTTTTGGTATTATTTGGAGTTTTATTTCTATGCTGTATGAATTGTCCAAAAATAAACATTTGTTTCTGGCTGATTTAAATATATTTAGCTTTTACTTCATTTACACATTTAATGTTTGTGTCTATTGTTTGTGGGTGTTTTTTTACGTATTAAAATCTAAGACGCCAAATCAAAACATCCCCCTTATGGATGAGAAGCTACACCCTTAAACATGTATTGTTTTATTTATGTTTATGTTTATGTGTTTAGCAGACACTTTTGTCCAAAGCGACTTACAAGTGATAATCGGCATATTGCCCTTGAGGCTAACAACAACAATAACAACAACAACAACTTGACATCAGTCATGGAGAGGAGGGAACAAGGAGTGGACAGTAGAGAGGGGGGACGGGTGCAGGGAGGGTGCTATGAAGATGCTCTCTTAATTACACGTTTTATTCTGTCTTAGTGATAGGATGAAGTTTAAATGTTGCATGAGTACCCCGGTAAAGAAGCTGAAATGAGTGAGTCAAGTAAAGTTGTACTGATCAATATTAGAAGATGTTTTGTTTAATATCTCAAGTGTTTTATGTCCTCTTAGATGACGTTGTTTTGTATTTCTGCCATTTTCTGGTGTAAAGTCTTACTTGATAAGCACACAAACCCTTTAACATCCTTGTATAATTTACTATTGGACTAGAACGAACCGAAGGTGTGATTGTTGACAAAGCTAATTGTTTTAATTTTGGACAATCTGACCTCCTCCCTGAGGAGGAAGGCTTCATTTTTTTTACATTTATTTTTTATTTTGTAGATCATAGATCTAATTGTTCTGCATACTTACCTCTTTCAAATTTTAAACTTCACATGGAAACATTTAAAAGCCACATTCTGCCTCCTGAAACGGTTTCAGTATCTGATGGTTTCTGTTGACCAAGTCTTTTAATCTGATTCCTATGCATAAAAAAGTCAAGTCGTCCTGTTTCAAACATGGTGTTTCTGTGGGTTAGGGTCAGGGTTCATGCAACAAAGCAGAAGCTATGTCTTTCCAACCACAAGCCTCCAGATGACCCTTTCATAGCCCAAATGGACACGAATGTCTCTCAGGAGAACGATACAGGACACCATTCAGAGTAGGATCAGGAAATCAATCTGGTGCATGATTTAGTCAAAACCATTCTTTCTGCAGCTTGAAGTAGCCCAAAAGATTAATTTTAATAAAGAAAAACAATTTAAAGCTAAAAAAACCTCATTGAGACAAGTTAATCGGAATCTGTTCTGCACGGCAATGTAAAAGCATCAAATCTGAGGCTGCTAAGTCAGCAAAACACAAAACTTTTGTCAGTGACTAAGTTTCAGCCTTGACCGTTTGCTCTGGACTCCACTGATACAACCACCAAGCTTTCAGATAACCGTGACTGGTGAGATGACGCTGCTGGCAGGAACAAGGTCAGAAGCTGTCAGCATAGAAAGCAGTGAGACAGCAGACGAGTTGTTTTGTCACTAAAGGTTGTTGAGAGTGAGCTGATGGGTTTCTGCGCTGTTTTGATGACCTTGTGCGAGACTCCCACATCACTGGTAGAACCAACAAGCAGCTGAAACCAGATTTCCCCACATGTGTAGCTCGTGGGTGACGATGGATGAAGATATCGCGTTAGCGTTCATACTTGTTTAATTATTTATTTTAATTCTGGTGCCCGTTAGCAGCCGAAACACATCCTCACGTGTTTGTGGATATCATATATTGTATATGAAGACATGACTGTAATAATAAGTAAAGGTTAGCAGCTGTAGCTTCAGTGTGCTCATAGGAAACGTGACAACAGAACACAAAACACATTTCTCTTCATGGCCTACATAATTGTCATCATCAACGTAACATGATTTACAGAATACATGTGACCAACTAACATTTCATGTTCTACCACCGGATGTTTGGATCAAAATGTGAACCAATCAGATCTTAGATCAGGTGAGAGCCAGGCGTTTCCCGTCATGCCCTAGGTTTAGCAGCCGGTGGAGAGCAACTGCAGCGCCTTGATCTCACGAGGTTATCGTTGCGTACGTATGCATGACGTCAGAGCAAGTCGGCGTCAAGTCGGACAAATCTAACCGGCATGCACTGCGCGCCAATCACCGGTGATCTAATCTGCGCAGAACTGGCTCTTCTCGAACACGGCCGATGTTTATAAATAGCGCATCTGTGTTGTCATGCCCAGGTCCGCTCAGCTTCACTTTGCGCGATCACCCATTGGCTGAGCGCACTGCCAATCACGACATGACGACTACGTCATAGCGGTACGACAGGTGATTGGTTGGCTTCTCTGAATAATCTCACCGCCGAGTAGCTACGACTGTGTGCACCATGTTTGATGAGCTGCTCGGCTCCTCAGCTCTGTGATTAGTTTCGTGTCATTTGGACGAAGCGTGGAGGTCCGAGCTGCTGCTTTCTTCGCCCTCGGCTGGTGGCTGTGAGACGGACCGAACCCGGGACGTGGGTCTGACGAGGACTGAGACGTGGGGACGCGGCTGTCCGTTAGCTAGCTCCGAGCTGTCAGGTTGAATAGCCATCAGTGGTTTCAAGGTAATTAGTCCCGCAGGAAAAGAGCCCGGACTCTCCCTAGCGGTGTTATTGGGTCTTCTCTGGATGTGTAGGCATGAGAGCCACCGGAGGACACCGCGGAGCACCCTGAACACCAGGCTGTCGCCGGGAGTCAAGTTTACTGCCTGTTAGCTGCGCGTGAGAGTCCCTGCTGTTTAATCCTGGCTAATGGTGGCAGTTCCGTGACCCAGCAGGAGGATCGTGATGGGGGTTCTGTCAGGGCGCGCAGCTCTGAGAGACTGAAGTGAATGGCGCTGGCCTGGGCCTGCCTCTGCCGTGATACACCCCCTCTGCACCGGATCTGCAGCGTTAATCACGGCCTGGAAATCACCGCTGTTTACCTAATTGCTGCTTTGCCCGGGCACACATCGGAAGAGGAGTCCGTCTGGGACGGTAGATGCGGTTTCCAAGCCGACCGAAGCCCCCTATGCGGGAAGGATTTAAGGAAAACTTGGCTCCTCTCAGAGATGAGTGCCGTGCTTCCCATGTGACAGGATCTAGATCGCACTTCGCTACCAAGACGGGGAAGCCGCCTCTGCCATGAGGGACGTCGAGGGCCACCGAGTTTATCTGCTGAGGGGGTTCTGGGCTCGGTTCTGTTGACTGTTTTAATCATGGCGCTCAGATTCTAGACTCTGGTCGTTGTGCATGTCAGCGACATGTGAGGATCTCACTACTTGATGGTGCACCAGAAGAACGGAAGTTGTTTAACACCATCGGGTCGGATCCTCGCTGGCATTATGATAGAGAGACTCTTTCAGATGTTTTTGTCCCCATGAAGGATCAACGTGGTTGGATAATTTAAGCACCAGATCTCCTCTTTATGATTTTGTTTAGTTTAATTAGTGCTGTAGCCATCATCATCATCATCATCATCCGGTCAAACAGGCGTTGGTGAATGGCTCTGTGCGGAACAACTGCTACCAATGTTCCCAAAATGATGGCTGCTTACAACGGTGGCTCCTCAGCGGTGGCTGCCCATCACCACCACCAGCTCCAGCACCTTCCACCTCCCCACATGCACCACCACCACCACCATGCGGGCCAGCACCAACTGCAGCACCCGGGCTCCGCTGCCGCCGTTCACACGGTGCAGCAGCACACGTCCACAGCTGCCGCCGCAGCAGTGATGCTGAATCCCGGCCAGCAGCAGCCTTACTTCCCCTCCCCTGCCCCTGGACAAGCTCCGGGACCCGCGTTGGCCACGGCTCCCGCACAGGTTCAGGCTGCAGCAGCTGGAGCTGTCAAAGCTCACCACCACCATCAGCAGCAGAACGCTCACCATGTGCAGCAGCTGGATGTGGAGCCCGACAGGCCCATTGGCTACGGCGCGTTTGGGGTGGTCTGGTGAGTTCTGGTGACCTTTTATCTACATGAGGAGAACGGATCCAAACCACGGGAACCATTTAAAGGAATAGTTCTGAGCTTCTCAATTGGCTCAGCTTGGAGAAATTAGTTCTGGCAGGACAGCTGAGTTGGGTCAGTTCTACTATCTCACAAGGATTCTAAAAATAGTTGGTAATGCAAAAGTTGTTTTAAACCCTTATGACAGAGATGCATGAAGGAATCAGCTGGGATCGATCCGCCAATCCAGAACTTAAAAATCATGTTCTCATTTTTTATACTTGAATGCACATTTGCCAAGCAGGGAGTTAGAAAATCTTTCTTGGTCCTTGAACTCACCATGGCTGAGCTTTCATTCATAGCCATAACTCACTTTAATCATAAAGTGAAACAATAAAATAGGATAAGGTGAAGCTGGAAAAATAGAAGCCTGCTTCAGAAAATCGGATTTCTCTTTAAAGCAGTTCCTCTTCATGCTTTCACGTGTTGTGGCTTTGACTTGGATGTGATTGCTCAGGTTGGCTTATGCAGACTGGCTGATGGACGGCATTGTGCCTTCATGTGCTGTTTTGGCCTCCGTATTTAAATTAATCTTTAAAGGTGTGGTTCACTCGTTTAATCAGTACATTTGCAGTGGTCTCTAGTAATAAATGCCTTGTAAGTTGTACTCTGGGTACGATAAGTCCTGGGGCCTCTTTTATCAACAGTATTTATGCACAGACCTGTGTGTATTTCATGCGTAGGACCTATAATTTGCCCATTGTGTGGAACAAATGTTTTACTTGTACATGGAAATGTTCCTAAGGCCCAATCCCAATACTTGCACTGCACCCTAATAAGGTCTTATGTGAAGTGCGCTTGGAGGAAGTGCGCAGTAAGGCTTCGAGTACTGGAACAAAGAGCGTTGCGTCATTGACCGCAGTGCGTGCCGGGAAGCTGGTTGCTCTGCCACTTTAGAAGTTGTTAAAAGTTTTTTTTAAACAAACACTTATTTGACATAACTTAAAATTCATTACTGCTTTGTCTAAAACTCAGAGCACCAATTAACCATCCTAAAAAGAACAACTTTCATTTGAAAATATACATTTTCAGGAAAGGCACTTGAGCCTTTTCTCCTACAGCAAGATTGTGCGTAATACCCTTCGCCCAAGTCCACATCGATGTAGACTTGAGTGAAGTGCGGATCAAGAATGCGAAAAGGGTGTTATCAACTTCCTCACTTGAGTCGGGACACCCTACGCACCCTGGCTGGGATCGCACAATTGAAAGGCATTAAGTGTGGAAGTGGGAGTATTGGGATTAGGCTTAAATAAGAAAACCTCTCATCATGTGTACAAAGAGCATCTAGTGGTAGAACGGGAAACCACAATACTGAAGCTCTCCCTCGTCCACACATGTTCCTCATCCACTAATTATTTTACCCAATAAATAAATATTTCGGTGGAAAAACAGCTGTCACATAGCTGGAGCTAAAACCATTAAGACACCTGTCGCAGACGGGACTCTGATGTTGTAGAATGGCTGAATTTGTGTTATTAATCACGATTTTTTGTCTTCCAATTTATTGATGTTTTTAATCATTTTTAATTTATCTATTTTAATAAACAAAAATTTTATATCTTTGTCCTTGTGAAGTGCCCCCCCCCCCCAAAAGCGCCGGCCACTCTAGATGCAACATCAGAAACTGAGACTGTAAACCATCTTAAACATTTAACAATAAAAACACAAAATCTATCATCTTCTATAGCACTTTTCATCATCACAGAGGTGAACCAAAGTGCTGCACACAAGACACATGGCCAACATTAAAATATACATGACAACAAACAAAAACATGTCAGTGAAAAATAAGTAAAATGCAACTGGATAAAGAGCTAAGTAGTCTAAAATGATCTAAAAATGTAGATGTGCTGAGGGAACACCACTGTATAAAAGTGAGCCTGCGTTCGACTTTTATAAACAGGTGTAACGATGTAGTTATCCCGGTAGAATTTGTTTCCCCGGCGTCGGAAGCGCGTGCCGGTGTTCTGTTTATCTGCCCCCCCCCCCCCCCCCCCCCCCGGAGATCTGTTACGTCTCCACCCAGCCCCAAGTTAGAACCATCCACTCCAAAAATGCGTGTCCTAACCCTTACCCTAACTTTTACCGTAACCCTATAACCAAGGGTGCAGATAGGATTTTCAAACTGGGGGGGACAAAGTTCCAATGTACCCACCCCCAAACACATACACACACATGTGCACGCCCATACACATACACACACATGTGCACACATGTACACATACACAAACAATTGCAAGACCCTTAACTAGAGCTCAGTCAGTTTGTGTAATTTCATCCAGCGGTTTACGTAAAAACTAACTTTTATGTACGTGTTTGAAGCCGTTATGCAACAAAGCTCTGCCTGATCAACACTATCCAAGTCAGTCATTTGTTATTCTCCCAATCAATTACTAACCAAAACCTCATGCTTTATGCAAAACATTTTTTATTTAGACATTAACTGATGTCAGCATACCAATCTTAGGGCTGGGCAATAAATAAAAAATGTATTGTTATCGAAATTTCTGACCCTTATCGAGATAAATTTTCCCATGTCAATAAATTTGATAAGAAAATGAATAGATGTGTGTAGGATGGCAACATTCGTGTCCCTTCAAGAAGCCGTACCTCCTTGATGAAACACGTGACAGCCCCATCTAGTGGACAACTTTTGTATCTGCGCATACCTGTAGTTATTGTCCATTTATCGTTATCGAGGTGAAATCCTCAATATATCGTGATATTAATTTTAGGCCGTATCACCCAGCCCTACAATCTTTACAGACAACATAAACAGCCCTACGTAAAAAAAAACTGCACATAAAATATAATAAAAAACAATATTCACTTATCACTTGACAGTGGTTCCCAAACTTTTCAGCCTCTGACCAACAGATGTTCCTTCTTATTTTTTATGTTATTTAGAAATGTTCATTATATTTTGAAAGTTTTAATTTATATATACATATTTAAAGCTCTTTTTGAACGACATATTTTACTTTTATTTTTATGGTTATGTGGCACACTTGATTTCCATACCTAACGCATCGGCATCTGCCCCTTTTTCACGGCTTTATTTTCACATTGTCGCTACGTCTGTCTCGTTAGCGGTGTTTTACCATCATTTCTACACCCATCACATTCCAGAGAAGGTTAAACCAACATCAAACCCAACGTTTGGAGCTTGTAAACTCCACACACCTCTCGTGCAGCACCAGCTGTCTGATGCTGCAGCAGCGTCCATCTTCCCGGCTGGATGAGTGAACTTCTTCATCAGAGTCAATAATCTGCTTCATAATCAGAGTCAGTCATGACCAGACAAAGTGATCAGTCAACAAAGACCAGACCTGCTGGCAAATATACGTTTTATCTCATATTTACGCTCTTCATGCTGCGCACATCTCCTCCTCTTCCTGACTGGGAGCCTCTCGCCAGGAGGCGTTTTTCAAACTCTAAAAACTCCCAAACTTTGCTCAGCCTGAAGGTTCCACATCTCCACTATCTTCTGGTGTAAAGTAGTAACTTCATGAGGGGTCATATTTGTAGATGAGACTTGTTAAAGTCAGCAATGAGGCTTTGGCGCTTTTAACGAGTAAGTCCCAACACGACAACAACGTACTGAATCTAGAACCAACACGCATAAACAGACAGATCGGTCCCGCCTACTTACACTGTTGGTCTTTCTTAAATACGCAGTAATCACTGCTTGTCTTTTTCACTTCATCCTGCATCCTAGCAGCAACCACTTTTGTTCCTCTGGAGTCTGTGTTTGTTTACATCATGCTGCATTCAGTGTAATTGGGGAAAGGAGCTTCAAGCGCTTAACCTCCGATGATGTTTTCGGGGGGGTCGGAATAAAGGATCGGAGTCTACCTGTATCTGGGGGGGGGGACAGATCCCCCCGTCCCCCACCCTATCTGCACTTCTGCCTATAACAAACATAAAAATAGTTCCACACAGAGTAATTTCATAAATTATAATTGTGTTAGAGTAAGAGTCAGGGTGAGGGTTATTTTTTGTGAAAGGGGGAACTAATCGACGTAACACCAGCGCCCAACGCAGGGGAAATAAATTCTACCTGTGATGACTAGATTGCTACAACACCGGCCGCGAGGGTGCTTGGAAGGTCACTCCACAGCTTGGGGGCCAAAACTAAGAAAGCCCTGCCTCTTCTAGTCGAGCATTTCACTCTTAGAACGACTAGTAGGTCTTGCTGTGATGACCTCAGTGCGCGTGATGGGTTGTAGTGGGTGAGTAGCTCAGACAGATAGCTAGGAGCACTGACCTGCAGAGGCTAAAAAACAAGAACAAGTATCCTGAACCTGACTCGGAAAGATACTGGAAGTCAGTGCAGATTGGCTAAAACATGTAAACAATAAAAAGTAAGATGACATTTGGAAGTTTATTAGCATTAAGCAGCGCTTGGTGCATGCTCAAACATTTTTGATATTCAGATATGGAGACTAATGCATTCAAGCAAAACAACAAACCAGGCCAGAAATGACATTTATTGTTGCTTATGTCATTTCATTGTTATATTTTAGGTTTTAAAGCTCACTAGTTTCTGTTAGTTGAAAATTATTTAAATAATTACAATTTAACAAAAATTTAAAGTGCACTAAAATGCCTGGAAATGACATCTACTTCATCCAAAGTGCACTCCTCTTTTCTGAAAGAATCCTGACTTTACAATGTCAGAGAAAGTCCCAACTATTTTATTTATTTGTATTTTAAAAATCAATCAAATCAAAGATACTTTATTCATCCCAGAGGGAAATTAGAGTTTCAGTACACACAATTCAGAGATCAGACATACTGTACATGGGCAAGACACATGACAAGAATTGGTGACTGTGGTCATTCGCAACCCTGAGTCGCGCTACCTTAATAGAGATCAGAGGGTTACATGAGGATTGGTTCAGGTGGAGGGAAAAAAAGGCACTTCAGAGTTACCCTCCACC